AAAAAAAAAAAGGTTGAGAAGGGAGAGGGTTGACATGTTGTGGGGTTGTTAACCAATGTCATAAGACAATACGTGTACTACTGTTTCATGAGAAACTATTTGTTCTGTAAGCCTTTACCTGAAGTACAATTAAAAAAAAAAATACACAAATGTTTGTAACAGCTTGTGAATATGAAGGTTGTGCGTCAACTTGGCTGGGCAATGATTCTCAGTGGTTTGGCAGTTATGATGTAGCTTGGCAGTATTACGATGACGTGATCACTTCCATGATGAGATTTGATGTAATGGGATCACCTCCATCATGGCATCGACTGTGAGTGGCCAATGAGTTGAAAAGGAGTTTCCTTGAGGATGTGGCCTGCATCCAATATAGATGAATTTTCTGGAAAGGCTAGTAGGTTTTTGCTTGCTCTGGATCCTGCAGCTGGCACCTGTTCATCTGACCTCTGGTTCCCGGGACTTGAGCTAGCAGCTTACCTGCCGTCTTGCCTGCCGATCTTGGGATTCACTGGTCTTCACAGCCTGTAAGCCAGAACCCTGCTGTCTGACTCACTGATCTTGGGTTCGACAGCCACTGCGAGTACATGAATCAGGAGAAGCCTCCAGTATGACCCACAGACCTGGGACGTTTCAGCCTCTACAACTGTGTGAGCCATTTCCTTGATATAAATCTCTGTTTAGATATTTATACACTATTGGTTTTATATTTGTAGTGAACCCAGCCTCAGATACAGCTCTATTCAAAACTGTCAAAAATTGGAAGTAACTATGACGTCCTTCAGTAGGTGAATGGATAAGCAAACTATGGTACATCCATACAATGGAATATAATTAGGCGATAAGAAGAAATGAGTTATCAAGTCATGAAAAGAAACAGAGGAACGTTAAAATCATATTCATAAGTGAAAGAAGTCGGCTGAAAATGCTATATACAGTATGGTTCTGACTATACGATATTCTGGAAAAGGCAAAAATATGTTGTCGTTGTTAGGTGCCATCGAATCGGTTCCAACTCATAGCTACCCTATGTGTAACAGAACAAAACACTGCCAGGTCCTCCGCGGGAAAGTTTTGATTCTCACATTGTTTTCTTCCTCTAATAGCTTTGTACAGATGTGCCCTAATCAGGACTTCAAACTGGTTTGCTCCGGTTCAATCGACTGCTAAGAATTTGCATTTTCACTCCAGATATACTGAATCAGAATCTACATTTTAACAAGATCCCTAGGTGATTCTTAGGTACAACTTCCTGGGAACTTGGTAGAAATGCAAATTCTCCGCAGGGGTTTGAACTTGAGTGAACTGGTTCGAAGCCCTGGTCCTAACATTTTTTGTGCATTCTAAAATACCTTGGATTTTCCGGGATAGGAATAATAAATGACCCTATGAAGGGGGTGAGGCATTTGGGTGGTTTACTAGGTTTCTCAGTTATGCTGGTAAAATGAAGTGAATTTTCTTTAATCAATGGCAACTTCTGGTGGTGGCGGGGGGTGACTAGATGAGTCTCCTGGTCATTTGATATCCTTCTGTTTCTGAGGTGCCTTTAATTTCCTCTACTTTGTCCTTTCCCTTCACCACCAAGCCTCCAAGGGATGTCTCTATTTTTCCCCCATAAGCAGCACCATTCAACACTGCCAGTTCTGGTCCACACACTTTGAAGCCCCTTCCTTTAAATTCTCCAGTAGACAGTGCTCTGATCTACCAGGTGTCGACCTATTGTCATTATTTCCCACTCAGAGTGGGGGGCTGCTCCCTGTGGGGGTGATTTTTATCTGGGTCCTGTCACCACTGAGGCTCAGCTGCACTCTCTCCATTTCCACCAGGTCACTACCTGACTCAGCTCCCACATCATCCTCAGCTGGCTCTGCTGGTTTCGGATGTTTATTTCCCCACTTATATTGAAGTTCTAGTACTCTGTGTCCTAATTATGCTATAGGCATGGGTGATGCATGCTTTTGTTTGCTTCCCCTGTTGATCTGTTTGGTACCTGTAGGGTGTGGGATGTATGGAAAAATTTAGATTTAGATGGCTGCCAACATTCTCCTCACCTCTGACATGAAAATTCTGGACAGAACTCTAACAGTGCACGATTCTGTGCCAATGGTTCTGTGAATACAACATTCTCAGTTAATTAGGCATTTCCAAATATAAGAATGGTGATCTGAAATGCTTTTCAGTATTTTACTAAAAATTAACAGATTTTATACCCTAACTATAAGCAAACTCAGTAATGCCTTACCAGTTACCCCAAAGACAGTAACAGAAGTCCTTAGTAGTGACAATGTTAGGAACCATGACTCTAGGCAAAGCAGAAATGCAGGATGGCACACTGACTAACAGGTTCTCAACAGGGCGATGGAGAGGCTTGCCCCTTCCCTGAGTCAGCAAATAAAATTTATACAATAACTATATGCGATATCAACCCAAGTTTCATAGACTGTCATGGCTACAGCCACATCAGTGTGGATTTCCAGCAGGTTAGCACAGATACCTTCTCATTCCTCTGAGCTGAATGAAACAGTAAAAGGAGAAACTGTACTTATTATTAGTCAATCCTTAAAACTGATAAGCTAATTAATTTGGGCTATACTTAAACTTATTTCTTATACATATTCTTGAAAAAGAATTTTTTAAAAGCCCTCCCTTCTAAATTACTTTATTTTGAGATACAATTCTTGGTACAACTTAATTCCCTAACAGCTTTTAAGCTGGTTACTTTCCTTTTTATTTTCTGAAGTAAACTATAATTTCAATGGCTCAGAAATTATACCAATGAGCATACTACATTCCTTAAAAGAGCACAGATTAATATCATAGAAGCTATTACTCTAAAATACAGGTTTTTAAAGTGTCAAAATTAGTTTTTTAAAACTTTATACCAATTTCCCACTGCCAACATACTTCAGGTTAAAATACTGTTCGAAGTGAGAAGACTTTTTGTTTCTTCTCATGTATATTTTTAAGCTAATCCATTTACTATTTTTAAAGATACCTGACATGCTCTTCCCCAAGGCTCAGTTACCTCTGGTCCCACTTTACCATGGTCCCTGGGGATGCACATTTAGTAAGGCAGTACAAGCTCAAGATGATAGGAGAAAGAAAAGGTCTTTTAGGCATACTGAAAAACCCCCGTATTTCCTGCAGTTTCACTATTCCAGCATGGTTCGCTAGACATCCCAAGACTCCTAGAGCACCACCTTACCTCAGATTCATCTGTAGACTCTTCAAGGGAGCTGGTTTCCTACAAAGCAGAGAGGAAAATGGTCAAAACAGGTGACAAAAGGATAAAAATCACTTTCAAGCGAAAAGAGTTTTCACGTCCCCGCTGCCAATACCCACCTGCCCTTTTTCGAAGGTAATGTACAACTACACATTAAAGGACTCCATGTACTCCGGCTCTCCCATACCTCCCACGACTTCTCACCCCTTGAAGGACTGAGGAGGTTCACTCTGAGTCACAGGTCCACTACTCCTGCTGACCTCCCCCAATTAATCAGCAGATGAATAAATTACCCCAGAAACTTGTCGTCTGAGTATGTGGGAGACTCTTTCCCTCACTAATAATGGGAATCCATCATGCAAAACAGCATTACTGATCTTGGAGGGAAAGCGAAAGCTGCAGTCTCAGTTATCAATCAGCCAATTTTTGCACTAAAAACTAGTGTGCTATTAATTATTAACTATTAATCTGGCTGAATCATAACGAATGTCTTGCTTAAATAGCATTTAAAAAAGAACTGCCCAACAGTGGTACCTATCAGACACCAGGCAAACAAGCTGTATAAATTTACATTCACTCTTTAAACCATTAACCTCAAGACAAATCCTGCTGTTTAACACAGTTTTCCTCCTGCTAGACAATGAATCTTGCAGCTCTGGAGAAAACAAAGCAAAAAGGGGAAAAATTGACTTGATCCTGCTAATCTCTCACCTGTCCACTGGAAGAGAGAATCTGCTGATGCTATACATCCTCAAAGGGGTCAGCAAAATGAAGATTTACTTAACGTACTTAGTTATAGATATCAATAGCAATAAAAGGTTACACCTAGTATGCTGACACTGAATGTAAGCATTTTACAACAACCCATGAGATAAACAAAGAAAGAACCAAAAAAGGAGAAGTGGGGGGAGGCAAGGACACCTTCGACAGAACTAATACTTTTATAAGGGGGGAAAAAAAAACATTAAGAAGAAAGTCAGGTACACATATTACTCAATGCAAATTGGATAGCAAGATGAATGCAAATCTAGGGTTCCAAAATATTTTCACTTCGTTCATCAAAAATCAGTAGAGCCTGTGGGGCAGACACCCATCAAAATACAGCCTGGTGGACAATAGAGTTCTTGCCCTCAGAGGTGTCTGTAAACTGGGGATAAATGTTACTTGTAATTAAGAACTATACTAGTTGTATTATTAACCATGATGGATATTAGAATCTCCTCTACTTCCCAATGCAGCCTGTTGAATTTAATATTAATCTAGTTCTTACGAAGTTTTTTTTATTAATTTGGAGCTATAATCTCTCCACAGTAGCTTTTTGTTCGTATCATCACTGAACCAAAAAATTAGCTTTTTGTTCTAAGCACCACTGAACCGCAAAAAAAAAAAAAAAAAAACCATCGAGTCGATTCTGACTTATAGTGACCCTGTAGGACAGAGTAGAACTGCCCCATGGAGTTTCCAAGGCTGTAAATCTTTACGGGAGCTGCCTGCCACATCTTTCTCCGCCAAACTTTTGGTTAGCAGCTAAACACTTAACGATTGCATCACGAAAAATCCAATTCCTCTGCTGACAGTTACACAGATAGTTAACGACATGCACCACGACCATGATTCTCAGTAGCCTCTCCTCTGCGTTCACCACCCCTAGTTTCTAGTTTTGGTCCCCTGACCATCCAGCCCTTTTCGTTTGGACACACTTCACTTTTAATATTAATAGTCACCATGTTGACTTCTTCACTCAACACATCTATTACATATTGCTCACAATGCTAAGCGCTTTATGCATAGTAGCATCTTCAAATTTCCTAACAACCCGCAAGGTAAGAACACTAGGGCTCAGAGGTTGAGCTTAAGACTTCTAACATCCCTTCCATCCCAGGGTGTCCCTGAATATTAAGTTATCAGCATTAGCAAAACAAAGCTTCGGCAACTCTACTGATAAACCACACCTAGATTCCTGTTTTCTATCTCCAAAACTCTGAAAGGACACTTGATTACTCTTTTCCGAAAAATTACATTAAATCTAAAGAAAAAGATTTTTTTTTCTTATTTTACTTGGAACCCATTCAAATAGGCACGTAGGGTAAATGGGCAAATGTCCCATTATACGTTCTCCATGAAAACAAAAAGTCTCCAACCGGCAATTTCAATCCAAAGCTCAAGAATCAAACCGGCCCTTCTCTGCACACATCCCAGAGGTCTCCAAATTCCCAATATGCTCTAAGGTCCCAAAGGACCCCCCACTCCAGGGGCACCGCAGAACCCCCCAGGGAGGGGCTGCCAGCAGTCAGCTCAGGGCCTTCACTCTAGCTTCAATTAGAGAGCCCAGGGTTTATGTTTTATATTTCTACACTGCCAATCTGAGACTAAAACAAAGTTTGAAAGTCACTGACTGTTTCTAAATTCTAACCTTTTTTTTCATGGCCCAATCTATGTCTCACCTCCTCCTGTAACCCCAGGCCACAAGATCCAAATCTGGCCTCTCGTGGCCTTTCTTTCTTCCTATGTCTCTCAGCTAGCAGCTAATATTAATGACTTTGTCCTAATACACAGGTCCCTGGGTGGTGTAGCTGGTGCTCAACTACTAACTGAAAGGTTGGTGGTTCAAACCCACCCAGTGGTACCACACAAGAAAGGCCTGGCAATCTATGACACACAATTATACTCTGTAACACGAGGTTGTGATGAGTCAGAACTGACTCAACAACAAGTGGTTTATGGGTCCTAGTTGTTACTTTAAAGCACTGTGGATAAACCTCAAGGCTTCTGCCTCTGTCTCCCCACCGTCTACCCAGAGTAACAACTCAACACGTTTGCGGATGACGATAAGACATAATCAGCAAATCTAAGTTAACATTCTTCCTCTTCCACATATTCCTTCTGCATTTATGAGCAATACCAAGTGCGTTTTCCCAGGCAGATGCTTAAAATATTAGCTCATGGTTACAGGACAGTTACACAAGGGGGGCTGTAAGAATATAGCAGCAAACAAGGACTAAATGAATTTGAACAGAATGTTCACAGCCTAGCAGCAGTCCTGGGAAAGGGGCTAACTGGGCTCTCAGAAGGCCCTCCCAATAGGCTTTCAACCAGCCCCACCTGTAATCATACCATCAGCACAGGGCCCGGGGACAGTGACCTGGGAGAAGACTCAGCACCAGCTGGCTTCAGAGGCCAGGAGGGGCTAAGCGGAAGGCTGTCAACCCAGAAGGAGAGGGAAGCCAAGACCTCCCTGAGCTGTGAAGTCCTAGAATGTGGAGAGTGCATACACTGTTGGGAAAGAAAAGTAGAATCTGGAGGACAAATGGGAGGCTGGAAGTGAGTGTGAGGAAGGCCAGCTCTAAACATTGCAGGTGGGTTGACCTGGCTCTGTGCTGGACAAAGAAACAGAGCAGGGACCAGGCCTTGCGAAATCAGACTGAGCCTGGAAACAGATCGGAAACACACAACACTGCATTGCCATCTTCTCTCTCTTCCCAACAAACTGTGTGTCACAGCTGCACTTAATGGAAAAGAGGGTTGTGATAGGTCCCGATGTCTGACATGGGCACAGGAGGGAGGACATATTTTGTGTGATATGTATTTGATATCCCTGTTCTCACAGAGGCTCAATTTCAAAAACCTCAAGGCAGCTGTGGCCAATTTTGGGCACCCAAGGGGGAAGTCCTGGTGGCACATGGTTAAGATATCGGCTGCTAATGAAAAGGTAAGCAGTTCGAATCCACCAGCTGCTTCTTGGAAACCCTATGGTGCAGTTCTACTGCATCCTATAGGGTTGCTATGAGTCGGAATCGACTTGGCGGCAAAGGGTTTGGTTTTTTTTTTTTTTTTGGTTAATGCTCCATGTTGGTGGAATAGAAAAGATTAAAGTACCTGGGGAGTGGGCAAAAAAATAAACAAATAAAACCAGTTGCCATAAAGTCAATTCCAACTCATGGCAACTCTACGTGTGTCAGAACAGAACGGTGCTCCACAGGGTTTTCAATGGCTACTCTTTTGGAATTAGATTTGCCAGGCCTGTCTTTCAAGGCGCCTCTGGGGTGATTGAAACTGTCAGTCTTTGGGTTAGCAGCCAAGCACTTAACCATAGGCACTACCCAGGGAACTGGCAGGAGTAGGGAAAGACTCCGGTTACCAACCCTGCTCAGCCCACAGGGCTCAGTTACTTTCCTCATTCTTATTCTGCAAATTAAGGAAAACCTCAAGGTCTGCCCCAGCCTGGAAACGGGACAAGCTCAGTGACCCAATGAACTGTGATGCCCAGATCTGACTTTGTAGCAGAATCATCTAAACTGAGTTTAAGGAATTGGCTAAAACTATGCAATTCTGAGTTCCATCTTCTTCAGAGATTCTGATCCAGTAGGTCTGACATAAGAGCCTGGAATCGGAAGCATTTGGTAACAAAAACACTAAGGAGGACCAAGCTTCTAGAAGAAACAAAGGCAATTGTGACAGAGTAGCCACAAATGCACAAAGCACAGAAGCCCCTGGTCTGACTGACAAGACACCCTAACATGGTAATGTGGGTGCTAGGGAGACTACTATAACTAGCTAGGGTCTTTGGCTTCAAGCTAACCAACACAGCCATAGATGAGAGGAAAAACGGGCCTGTGAAGTAATAAGCAGGTCCAGCTGAACTAACATTTCAGTTACATGAAGGAAAGAGTGAGCCCTTTAAAAATCCGTCCGATCCTGTGCCTTTCAGTTTCCTGTTTGGGGCTCTGTTTTTCCTTTAGTTACTACTGAAGTTGCTTCTGAAAGATTTGTCTTGTCCAACCTGAAGGAGAAGAGAATTGCCAATACTTGAGGAAGCCCAAGTTTGCAGGATCAAGTGCTGTCCTAGTTATAATACCATCTCTTCAACCCGGCCACATTCACATGTTTTATCTCATTTCACTCTCATAAGAGTCCTAGGGAGTAAAAATCCCAATTCACAGAGAAGGAAACTGAGACAATCAAAATGTGTCGATTTGGTCTTTATTTTATGCACATAGGAGTATACATGCTCATGAATATGC